AGATACATGTCAGCCCTTGAGGCTATAAATACCCCCCAACCACCTCCGAAGAAGGTAATTAATCTCTACGCTTCTCTCTCCGCAATTACTCCTTGAGAGCATCTCTCTCTAAAAGATAGAGTATTGCTGACTTGAGCGTTGGAGTGTTTTCCCCGAGGAAACATCCTCGGGATTTTCAGGTGTAGAAGCAGCTGAAGACTTCAATAGTGTTGGATTGTGAAGCTGCCGAAACATTGGCGCCGTCTGTGGGAAACTCGAACAAGAAGTTGTGTGACTTAACCTGCTGAAAGACAAAATGGTCCGTACCTTTACAGGAGGTCGCCCTCCAAGAAATGAAATGAACGAACAGGAGGACACTCATGTATCTGGACCTGGCTTGAATGACTTTAGGTCAATGCCAAGAAATCTTTTTGTAGGAGGAGCCGAACAGGATCACCTGAGTGAGACAGATGATGAAAGAACACCAACTGGGTATGCAACCCAGCCTGAACAATTCCAAGTTCCAACAGGAACAAGACAAAGATCTGCTAGACCGTACAATTCACGGCATGAGCGACCTGAAAGGTCGACAGAACCTGCTCGGACAACCGAGCTCGAAGAAAGAACCAGAGTTCTCAAAATGGCAATGGGTAAAATACTTGCCCATTTAATTCCGGATGACCCCTTGATTCCTTTGCTAAACAGAGATGCACAACCGGCTGCGGTTGTTGCAACTCGAAACTCCCCCGCTCTCAGCAACATAGTAGTGCCGACCAGGCCAAGGGGAAGCGGGAAGCTGAATATCGAGCCCAGCTCGTCCAAACATAGTGAAGAACTTATGAGAAAAAATGCAGACCTTGAAAGACAACTGCGGGAAGTGCAAAAGTCTATTGACGAGCTGAAAAGTCCCAGGTCGCATCAACAGATTCTGGATTTGGATAGTGCACCACTAAACTTATCCATTACGGCAGAGCCGTATCAAGAGGGATTCAAAATTCCCCACCTGGAGACATATGATGGCTCGGGTGACCCTGATGAACATCTACACACCTATCAAGCCATCATGAGAATTCAAAATGCCAATGATGCCATGATGTGCAAAGTGTTCCCGGCAACACTGAAATCAACGGCCAGGAGATGGTATCACAAACTCCCCAGACATTCAATAGATTCATTTTCCCAACTCGCCAAGCTATTTTCTAACAAATTTGCAAGTCAAAGGGAAATCAAGCGCACAGCAACCGAGCTGATGCAAGTTAACCAGAAGGAAGGGGAGTCCTTGAGGGATTACATGCAGCGGTTCAACAAAGCCATCTTGGACATTGATAATGTCCCAGATACAATCTGCCTGTTCGCCCTGTTGCATGGGTTGAAACGTGGCCGGTTCCTAGACGACCTGCTTGAAAACCCACCGAAGACGTGGAACGAGGTGAATGACAGGTCAGCTAGCTTCATACTGTCAGAGGACTTTCAGTCGTCCAAGCGACGAGCTGATGATAAGCCGAGCAAAGGTCAGGAACAACAACCGAGAAGAGAAGAGAAGAAGAAGCAGAAGGTCAATGAGCAATGGGGGAAACCAGCGGAGTTCCCGAAATATGCCAATTACATTCCTTTGACCTTACCCAGGTCTCAAATCTTGGCACAAATCCAGCACTGGGTTAGGAGACCCCCACCCCCATTGCATGATTCCCCGAGGGCAGACAAGAGCAAGCATTGTGATTACCACCGTGTATATGGTCACAATACAGAGGATTGTCAACACTTGAAGGACGAGTTGGAGTTTTTAGCTCGTAACGGGAAGTTAGAAGGGTATGTTCAGAAGCCTCACACCCAGCAACCCACTCAAACCCATTTCGTGCAGGCATACGACCGACCTCAAGGGCAGAGGTATCAGCACGGAGGGACGCAGGATGTATATCAGGATAACCAGTATCCTTTTGAGCAGGGCAGAGCATACCGAGGACGTTCGTTCAACAGGCGAGGACAAGGACCGAGAACTACCGCCCCGAATCAAAAAGACAGAAAAGGGGTAGGTTACGCGGGGATACCCCCACCCTCTGGAACCATAAATATGATATCAGGTGGTGTTCACTCTGGGGGTCAAAGCGCCCGAGCTCGCAAGGCATACGCCCGACAGGTGATGACTGTCAACAAAAATAGACCCTTGAAGCGGCCATTTGAGGAAGCAGAATGGGAAAATACACCTATCACATTCAGCCCGGCAGATTACAAGCGAGCAGAAGCAGAGCCTGACATTATGATGCCTCATGCCGATCCCTTTGTGGCGACAGTTCATATAGGCAATCATAATGTCAATAAGGTGTTTATTGACACTGGCAGTTCGCCAGATATCTTGTACTGGGGTTGCTTTCAGAAGATGCAGCTAAATCCGAGCTCGATGCAGAAGCACGAAAGGCCAATATACGGGTTTGATAACCAGCCCGTCCCGGTCGAGGGAGTTATCACTCTTCCTATATATGTGGGCTCAGAACCACGCTTCAGGATGGCTTCCGTCACCTTCCTGATCGTTAAGATGGAATCAGCTTTCAATGCTATATTAGGAAGAGCCATTATGTGCGAGCTGAAGGCTGTCATCTCGCAACCCCATCTCTGCATGAAATTCCCAACTCCTCAAGGGGTAGGAGTGCTGAAGGGGAATCAAAAGATGGCTAGAGCCTGTTATCAAGACACATTCAAGAAGGTCGAGCTTGCCGCGGCCCTAACATGCGCTGAAGGCCGCAAGCCAGCCGAGCTCGCTCAGCAAACAATGAGCATTTCAGACATTGAACACCGACCTGAGGGTGTCGAGCATAAAGCAGAACCAGTGGAGCCGGTAGAAACGGTCCCTCTGAACCCTGCTGTGCCAGAGAGAACGGTCAAGATTGGCACCAAACTCACAGAGGAGGAACGGGCAGAGCTTCTGGAGTTTTTGAGGGACAATCAAGACGTGTTTGCGTGGACTACGGACGAAATGCCGGGCATCCCCGCAAAGTTGAAAGTCCACAAGCTAAGCACGGACCCCACTAAAAGGCCAGTGGTGCAAAAACGTCGCCTTTTTGGCCCCGAGAAACAAGCTGCAGTTGACGAAGAGATACAAAAGCTGCTACAGGCAGGTTTCATCAGAAGAGTAGAGTACTCTGAGTGGGTATCTAACCCCGTGCTCGTTAAAAAGCCAAATGGCAAGTGGAGGATGTGTATTGATTTCACCAACCTCAATGACGCATGTCCAAAAGACCCTCATCCGTTACCAAATGTCGAGAAGTTGGTAGAACGGGCAGCTGGGCACGAACGGATGAGTTTTCTAGACTCCAGCTCAGGTTACCACCAGGTCCAGCTGTTGTTAGATAACCAAGAAAAAACAGCTTTTTACGTTGGTGACGCAATATACTACTATGTCATGATGCCGTTTGGCCTCAAAAATGCTGGAGCAACATACCAGAAGCTGGTGCAAATCATCTTTAAGCTCCAGATCGGCAAAAACATAGAAGTGTATGTAGATGACATGATAGTCACCAGCGTGCGAGCTGAGGATCACATTGACGACCTAGATGAAACTTTTCAAAACTTGCGTCGAGCCCAAATGAAGCTGAATCCCTTGAAATGCACGTTTGCTGTAGAATCAAAGAAATTCCTAGGGTACGTGGTATCCAAGAAAGGAATCGAAGTAAATCCAGAGAAGGTCCAGGCCGTTCAGCAGATGGAGCCTCCCAAGACTGTAAAAGATGTACAGCGTCTGACGAGTCGGGTAGCTGCGTTGCACAGGTTTATAGCCAGATCGGCAGAAAGGTGCCTTCCATTCTTCAAAGCTCTGCGGGAGCCTAAAAACTTTCAGTGGACTGGTGAATGTCAATAGGCGTTTGACGAGTTCAAACAGTATTTGGCATCTGCACCCCTGCTGTCCAAGCCGGTCGACGAGGAATGTTTATATCTTTATCTGGGGGTCACAGAAGAAGCGGTGAGTTCAGTGCTGCTGAGGGAAGAGAATAAGAGTCAGAAGCCTGTCTGTTATGTGAGCAAGGTGTTACAAGGTGCCGAGCAGAATTACCCACTAGCAGAGAAGGCTGCTTTTGCCTTAGTTTACACGGCTCGTAAGTTGAGAGCTTACTTCCAATCACATCAGATTGTTGTCTATACCGATCTGCCGTTGAGAAAAATACTGCAGAAACCTGAACTCTCTGGTCGGATTATTGGATGGAGCGTCGAGCTGAGTGAATATGACCTGAAATTTCGGCCGCGCACAACCATAAAGGGCCAGGCCGTTGCGGACTTTCTGGTGGAGTGCACCTCAATAGCTAACGAAGAAAAAGCACCCAAACACCCAGTCTGGGTTTTGTATGTTGATGGAGCAGCTAACACGGAAGGGTCGGGTGCTGGGGCTGTCTTACTGGGCCCAGATGGCTTTAAATCTGAGCACGCGCTGAGGTTTAAGTTTCAGACGACCAATAACGCTGCAGAGTATGAAGCCCTCATTTATGGACTAAAGCTGACGTCAGAGTTGAAAGTACAAAGCATTCAGGTTTTCAGCGACTCGAAACTCGTAGTGGGCCAGGTGAATGGCAGCTGCGACATCAGAGATCCCCAGCTCAGTCGTTATGCCTCTGTGGTCAACAGATTGAAATCGATATTTGCCCTTTTCCAAATTGATAAAATACCAAGAGCAGACAACCACCGAGCTGACGAGCTGTCAAAGTTGGCCTCATCGCAGGACATTAACCCTCAGAGATCAACAATTGTCGAGGTACTCGACGCACCGAGCTACACTGATTTCACAGTCGAGTGTCAACTGCTAAGTACAGATTCCTCTACACCGAGCTGGACCACCCCGCTCATAAATTATCTACAAAGTGGCGAGCTACCTGAAGACCAGTCCGCTGCAAAAGTGATTAAACGCAGGGCGGCACATTTCACTGTGTTGGATAACCAGCTCTACAAGCGAGCAGCCTCAATGCCCCTATTACGCTGCCTTACTCCTTATGAAGCTGAATACGCCGTAAGAGAAGTTCACGAGGGAGTATGTGGCACGCACATCGGTGGCAAAACTTTAGCTCGGAAACTCCTAAGGCATGGGTATTACTGGCCCACTATGGTCGAGGACGCGCAGAGCTATGTCAGAAAATGTCCGACCTGCCAGTTCAATGCTGATGATATACACATGCCAGGTATCTGAGTCTATTCTAAAGAACATGCAAACTCCGTGTTTGTCTCTAAACTAAGCATAGGTATCTTCCTTGAAACAGGGGGAAATGCTATCATCTCTCACGTCTCCCAGGCCCTTTGCTCAATGGGGTGTCGACCTGCTCGGCCCTTTTATCAAAGGCAAAGGAGGCTGCACTTTTCTGGTCGTCGCAGTGGATTACTTCACTAAGTGGATAGAAGCTAAACCGCTGTCCACGACAACAGAAAGAAAAATAGAAGAATTCTTGTTCAATTCAATATTGTGCAGGTATTCTTTGGTGACCGAGATTATAAATAAAATAGATGCAAACGCAATTTGTAGCTCAGCTCGCTCATTTGTGTGCAGGTTCGGCATACCTAAGCGGATTATCGCCGACAATGGGCCACAATTCCGAGCAGCTGCACTGAGATCGTTTTGTAACGACTACGACATTGAGCTCGCCTTGACATCTGTGTACACTCCACAGTCCAATGGGCAAGCCGAGTCCGCCAATAAAATCATCTTGCGGGGACTCAAAACTCGTGTTTTGGCTGCACATACTAATTGGGTTGACGAGCTCAATAAAGTGCTGTGGTCATGTCGTACTACACCCAGCTCGGCCACAGGCGAAACCCCGTTCAGTCTGGCCTATGAAGTTGAGGCTGTTATCCCCGTCGAGGTCGGATTGCCATCCGATAGATCAGATCGTCATGACGATCGGAATAATGAACAGCTCTTGAGAGAAAACCTAGACCTTGTGGAAGAAATCAGGGAGATGTCCCGAATAAGAAACATCGCACATCAAAATCATGTTGCAAAATTTTACAATAAAAGAGTTCGAGCTCGCCAGTTTCAAGTCGGCGATCTGGTCCTACGTAAAGCTGGGCTAACTAACACCCATTCATACATGGGCAAGCTCGCTCCTAATTGGGAAGGCCCCTATATGGTTGTTCAAGTTAAACGACCTGGCTCTTATGTATTAGCAGATATACAGGGACGTCATTTGCCTTACATTTGGAACGTACAGAATCTAAGAAAATTTTATAGTTAAACTGTATACTACTCTTTTATTCAAGTTGTTATTCGACAGTTGTAAACAATGATATACTGAAAATACAACAGAAATTCAGAGGAAAACTCATTTTTGTATTTCATCAAAGATGTTTACATTGAAGGTACTTATGTATTACATTGATCAAATACAAAAATGCAAAAGTGAAATACAAAAGAACAAAAGAAAAACCCTAAATCTAGTCATCCGTCAGATCGACGGGCATGGATGCATCAGCAGCAGCTGCAGGAGAGCGAGTTGGAGGAGATCGAGCAGCGGCCTCAGAGACTGGTGCGCTGACTGGCGAGCTGACCGGCACCACGGTGGGCTGAGAGTTGGGCGGGGTGGTTGAAGGCTCCTGCTCAGCTACAGGAGCACCCTCTACCCATGCGTCAAAGGAGGGCAACCCCGTTGGATCCTCCCCGTCCTCAAGGACCTGAGGAGGCCAAACAGGCACTCCCTCCTCGTTGAGGTCCCACCTCAACCG